TACAACATGTAACTCGAAGAAAAAAATAATGATATAACGCAGATGTTGACATTCCATACGACGAAAGGTTAGGAAGGAAACCTTTATCAGTAGTGGAAAGAGCGATAACAGCTAATGGACTTTAGAAACCTTTTTTTTCCTGAAAAAATTGTTTTAATAGAAAGATTTTATAAATTTCAACCAACAGCATTTCTGGTTGCTCGCTCAAGGAATGCCATACGTTTCCTTATAGGGAAACGGCATATATTACCATTACAATTTCATTTAGTAGAGTTATCTGTTTGAGTAGATTAAATATAAAGGCTTAGAATGTGGAATCAGTAAATACCAAGCACTTCAAATGCCTCAGTATTAATAAATTTAGTTTAAGGGACAAGGAAATTGAATATAGAAAAGGCTGCACTAGAGAAAACAAAACCAACAAGAAGTCATGTTCTTACATAGCCTCGGCGGATCTAGACTTTAATATGGATTGCCAAACATGGCGCCAAACCCACTCAGAAATATCTAAACTGTCTGCTGTATACAACCGCTTTCTAAGATCAATGGTTAAAAATGGCGTTGAGAAAGTTAAGCTTGCTGATCTTGGCGAAGGCAATATTTCTTCGACTGGCACTACACTGTACTAAATAACAGAAACCACATTATTGAAGACTATCAACAGCAGCAAAAGTTAAAATAACACATGGAGCTCGAAGAGAAAACAATGACATTATCAAGATGTTGACAAACAAAAGTTTAGGAAGGAAACCTCCATCAATACTGTTATATAGAAATAAAGTGTCGACACTTGAGTTTGAACATAGATTGCCAGTGAGCAAACACAGGCGATCTCATTATTGAATTAAGTAGACCACGTGACCATAGAGGAAACGCATATTTGGGAGGTAGCGTGTGTCGAATTGATCGCATTTCTATCCCCTATACTATACGGATCGCTATTTCTAATCTATCACTATACGAAGCGCTATTCTCTACTCTATTCACTATACTATTTCTCTATTCCGATCACTATACGGGTTACTTTTTCGATCGAGTATTATCGAGCAAATACTATTAGTGCGAGTGGTATTCGAAGGCGCCTGACACCAGTATTGTTCCACGGCGTTACTATAGTTGTATCTGCGATTACAAAGTATCTACTAAAACGAGCATTACGAAAGTGACAACGAGTTTTCGTTGGCATCACAAAAATGGCAACGTGTGTTCGTTGACATCACAAAAAATACTGAAAAGAGTAATAACATCTGATAGACTCTAGAAACTTATTCTTCTGAAAAATGGTTTCAAGAGAAATATCTTTTCAGCCGACAACGACACTGGCTGTTCGGTCAATGAATACCGTATGTTTTCTGATAAGGAAACGGCTAATATTAAATTTACCATTTGGGGTTTCGTATCAAAGTGAATGTCTATTCAGAAGTTATAAATATTAATGAGCACACGCATGCGCGCTTCTGCTATGTTGTCAAAACTTAATCCTTCCTTTATTTTTCATGCAATAGAAAAACAGTAAAAGGCATTAAGAATAGAACGTAACAATTCTAAAAAGAAAGAAACATTTTGGGGAAATTAAGTGCAACAATAAGTCTGAAACGCCCGAGTTTGAAATTCCCCCACTTTAGTCCTTGGCAATTGCCTGTCCCCGGAGGCAACGACTAACCTTGCTGGGTTATGGCCAGAGGCGGGGTACAGAAGATGCAAGTGTTTTCTTTCTATTTAATTTGTTGCATATAACGGAATATTCTGACATGTGCACGTCTGCTAAAACTGATCCTCCCCCATTGGCGCATTACAAGTGTTGCTGCTGGGGAGAGTGCCGGGGCGGGGGGATCAATAAAAATAGACAAAGAAGAAAAAGAAGAAGAAGAAGAAATTGCAGGAAAAAGACAGGGCGATTAAAAAGAAAGAATTAGGTATGGGAAATAATAGAAAAAAAGGATGGGAAGAAAAGACAAAAATGATGAGGGCGAAGGAATGGTCAAAGGAAGAACGCCCAATAAGAGGTAGGAATAAAAGAGAAAGATTTCCAAGAGGAAGAAAGAGAAGAAGAGGACAGCAGATAAAATTGGAGAGGAAGCGAGAGAAAACTAAAAAAAAAGACTTTTAAGAGATGTAAAACTTGAAAAAGAAAAAAAAGAAGTCGAGTAATATTAAATAAGAAAATCTAGAAAAGAAGTGAAAAAGAAGAGAAAAAGAAGTGAAAAAGAAGAGAAAAAGAAGTGAAAAAGAAGTGAAAAAGAAGAGAAAAAGAAGTGAAAAAGAAGAGAAAAAGAAAAGTTTACATGACACTAAAGAGTAAGAATAATAACACGAGTAAAAAGATGACAAAGTAAAGCAAGAGAAAGAAGAAGAAACAAGTAGAAAGAAAGAAAGAAAGAAAGAAAGAAAGAAAGAAATGAGAGAAGAAAGCAATGAGATTCGAAAGAAGATAAAGGAGAGGAAGAGAGGGGAAGAAGAGAGAAATAGAGAAAAAGAAAGAAATAGATTCAAAAGGTGATAAAAACTAAGAAGAAAGATTCAATTAATATTAAATAGGAAAGTCAAGAAAGAGACGACCAATAGAAAATACATAATGATGTCAATGGCAAAAGGAATCCAAATAAATCAAGTTAAACAGTGAAGAGAAGAAAAGAAAGAATACTACTACTACTACTAATACTACTACTACTACTAATACTACTACTACTACTACTACTAATAATAATACTAAACTACTACTAATACTACTACTACTACTACTAATAATAATAATAATAATATTACTACTACTAGTACTACTACTCATAATAATATCGTAATCAAAGACCACAAAAATAAAATGTACCTTCTTATTGATATGACAATTCCTGCAACCTGTAATGTATCTCTGAAGATCTTTGTATCTCTAAAAAGAATACCCGCTCGGCCCGGTGGCTAGGATCAAAGTGTAGTATCTGTGCTTTGTGAGCTGCCGAGCCGGGTGTCTGTCGAACTCTCTGCTTGCAGAGAGGAACCCGGACGAAGCTCCGCCGAAGGGTAGGGTTTCGTTCGGGGTGGTTGACGGAACTAGCCCGCTTGGTCGGGTTTAGATGGGTTTTATTTTTGGCTGGGCCTACGGGCTCGGACATACCCACATTAAAAAGGCCTTGTGCCACATTCAATTCCTGTGGGTGAATTGATAAATACCATCTCTGAAGATCTTCAAAAAACTATCAAAATAAAAGGATCTTGTAATTGATATCTGAAAAATGTGGCACATGAGGATATCAATAATTTCAGTTGTGGTTGAAACCCTTGGATTGATTGGAAAAGGGTTCAATAGACTAATTGAAAGGATTACTGATATCCCATGCCTTAAAGAAATATAAAAAAAATGTTCTCACATGTACAGATCACATCTTACGAAGGGTTTTATCTATGTAGAATGTGTTTGATTTTTTTTTTTTTTGTATTTTGTTCTCAACAAATGATCAGTGGAAAATGTCATGATGACATTTCTGACCTTAGGTCTCTGGTTGGGATCCGGAAAGAAATGAGTATTCACCAGAAATCAAAGGAATAATAATAATAATAATAATAATAAGAATAATAAGAAGAAGAAGAAGAAGAAGACAACAGAGAGAAGTGAAAACGAGAGCAAGAGTTAAAGAGAGAGGGAGAAAGATAGAAATCTCTATATAAAATTCTATGGTTAGTTCGTCTGTCCGTCACACCCTCTAAAATAGACATACATTTACTGGTCTTGGTAAGGAAATGCAAAAAGGTCAGTGGGTATAAAGTACAATTAGTTTTACTAGGGTTCGTAGCTTAGTGTAATAAATTTTCATAATTTTTTTTTTTTTGAAAATTAATTTACAATTTAACATACAAAACACTCCCACTATTAATACAAAAAAAATACAATACTATTTTTTGCATATCTTTTGTTTAAGTTATATATATATATTATATATATATATGTATATATATATATATATATGAATAAAAATGACAATAGGAAAACTATTAATTGCCGACGCGTTTCATCCAATGTGGACTTTATCAAAGCAAAATACGAAATGAATATAATTTAACAAAAGGTAACTAATAAAAACAAAAACAGAATGTTACTAGCAGCTGGAATGTAGAGAAATGCTATTTTCATATTGTTAACTGAAAATAACGTCAGTATTTGTCACGTGTGGAGAATATTGTCATTATATCTGTGTTGATGTATTCAATCTTTTTCTTTTGATTTTATGAATCTGTTGTGTATATTTGTATTGTGAGAGCAGTAATTTTCTTAAGAAAGGTGAAATAGGGAAAAACCTGGGCGTAGATTAATATTTGGGTATTGTTCTATTGCGGCACTCTCTAGAATTTTCTTCTGAGTGAGTTATTTTCTTTTTTTATGACTGTATCATTTTTAAAATATATATATATTTAATTCTGGTAAAAAATAATGAACAGTAGTATGTGTAGTGTAACTACAAATACAGTAGGGTGAGTTGAGTTTGTAAACTCGACAAAACAATGCTAGCGATAACCTTCACCAATACTAAATACTGCGAGGATGTCAAGGCCCGTCAGCATGTTATAAAAAATTCTAGTAGATTAGAATTCCGAAAGGGTAGAGAGGAAAAATGATTCAATAATTAAAATAAGTTGTGTCCAAAGATGAAGAAGAGGAAATAGGAAAAAGAAAGAGACATGAAGAGAAAAAAAATGAGAACACTGAAATATATATATATATATATATATATATATATATATGGGGAGAGAGAGAGAGAGAGAGAGACAGACAGACAGACAGACAGAGGGAGAGATTGGGATTCAAATTGTGAGAAAATAAAAAGGAAAAGAATAAGCTGAGTTCAAAAATGCAGAAAGAGGGAAAAAGAAAGAGAAATAAAGAGAGAAGAAGAAAAACAAGAAGAAAATTGAAAGAAGAAAAGAAATAGAAAGAAATAGATTATAATTGTGGATAAATAGAGAAGAAAAGAAAGATTCAATTTAATAAAAGAATAAAAAGTATAAAAATGAAGAAACAAGAAGGAGGGTGAAGAGTTAAAAAAGAGAAATACAAATACTACTACTACTACTGCTACTACTACTACTATTATTACTACTAATAATAATAACTATGAATACCAAGGACAGAAGACATCAGCAACGAAGAAACGTTGAAGCTAATAGCGACTACATGGAAACGTATACTTACAATCAGAAAGAGTTGAAATTTCTGGGATAACTGATGAAGGAAGATGGTCTACAGAATTTAACATTTGATTTACATAATGAAGACATAAGAAACAGGTGAGGGGACAGTGGAGAGACTGCTTCATAATTTAACCTTGCGTCCATATCACGTTGGAATACCGTTAAGTTAAGCAACACCGAGACTGATCAGTAACTAGATGAGTAAAAGCTTGGGAATACTAGGAAGAGATAACAAAGAGAAATACAAAGAGGAGAGGGAAAATACTACTACTACTACTACTACTACTACTACTACTACGACGACGACGACAATGATAACGCCTACTATATATATATATATATATATATATATATATATATATAAGGTTGGTGCAAAAATAATGACGTAAGAATGTCGTTTTTGACGTGAAAAGTACGTCAAAAACGACATTATTACGTCATTATTTTTGCACCAACCTATATATATATATATATATATATATATATATATATATATATATATATATATATATATATATAGCTGACCACTCGTATTCCAGGATACCCGTCTACTAGGGTGGCTAGTCAATCTCTATTGTAGACGCTCGGTCAGGCACATTTGTGTTTGTTCAACATCCACAGAGCCCACCTGTGGTTTCTACAGCAACTATGCTGAGCAGACCTTAGTTACAGTTTTCTGGGAATGAGCGTGTTATCTAGCGTGATCAACAATTTGAACAAAGGCCAGCACACCAAAAAACCTCGGCCACGATGATTCGTGACTCCGTGGTAGCACAACCACCGACGACTCCCAAGGGTACCGTCTACCCAATTTCACTCAGAAGGCTTGGGTCAACCCGTGATATGATTTTCAGGCACTTTCCAAAGGTGCCGCACGCTGAGATCGTCTCCTTCTTGACAAATGAATAATGGTGAAATTCGAACCCGGGTCTCATAGAATGCGAAAGTTCTAACCACTCGGCCACTATTAACTACTACTACTACTAATAATAATAATAATAATAATAATAATCTCGGTGGGAAATAACAGAGAAAAATTTCCAAGGCAAGATGCGGAGAACGTGGATAGGAAACGAAAACAAAAAAGAAAACCAAAAATGCCCACCATAAAACTGTTTATATTGTGATTGGTATTTAAATTTCGAACGTCAAGTAATGGCGAAAGAAAAAAATATGACTTTTAATTCTTTCTCTCTTGTCACATCATTAGTTGATTGATATTTTGTTTGCCGATCGAAAAATCGCCTCGGGAAATATTTATAAATTCCTTTTTTTTTTCTCCAAAAATGTTTGCCCTCGGAAAAGAATATTAAAAAACAAAATTGAAAAAAAACCCCTAAAAAACAACTCTTTTGACTGACATCACTTTGAGGCAAATCCCAAAGAGATGCAATGAGAAATATGCATTTTTATTAATGTTCCCGTTTAATAATTCATATATACAAAATTCACACATGTTTATCAGACAGTCAATAATATATAACGGTGTACATTTACGCTTGTATTGCCTTTGTAGAAAGAAAATAAAAACTAACAACATGCCTGTTAACCTGTGTTGATATATATGTGAATTTATGTGCCTGTCTGTATGTGTGTGTGTCGCTAGATATGTGTTAATTACTCATACATAATATATATTTAAGAATATCTATCTATCTATCTATCTATCTATCTATCTATCTATCTATCTATCTATCTATCTTAATCTGTTCATATCTATCTATCCCAATCTGTTCATATCTATCTATCTATCTATCTATCTATCTATCTATCTATCTATCTATCTATCTATCTCAATCTGTTCATTTCTATCTATCTATCTATCTATCTATCTATCTATCTATCTATCTATCTGTTGATTCCTATCTATCCCAATCTGTTCATCTCTCTCTCTCTCTCTCTCTCTCTCTCTATCTATCTATCTATCTATCTATCTATCTCAATTTGTTCATTTCTCTCTCTATCTATCTTAATCTGTTCATTTCTTTCTCTCTATCTATCTCAATCTGTTTATTTCTATCTCAATCTGTTCATTTCTCTCTCTCTCTCTCTCTCTCTCTCTACCTATCTCAATCTGTTAATACTTACCTATCTCAATTTGTTCATTATCTATCTATCTATCTATCTATCTATCTATCTATCTATCTATCTATCTATGTTAACATACATGTATATGCATTTATTTATAGACGTACATATATTTGCATAGATCTGAATATACTCTTGTAAATTGGTCCCAGGATAGGACTATCGATCGATCTGAAGATGGTAGCTTAAGTGGCATGCAATTCAGAGCTGGCACTCAAGTCGATGCGGGAATCAGACTAAAACTGGGGATTTCGAAAACTGATTTTAGCATTCGAGTAGTCATTCTTTACCGGCAGTTCGTGCTGCATATCTTCATCTGATTATAGCCGAAACTTCATCGTCTATTCATAAGTTCTTTAACTATCATAAGATCAATCGCTCCCCATCGGTTGTAAACATCTATATATTTAATAATTCAAAAACGTGCCAGGTCCCTTAAAGACATAGACTTTATATAGCTCTCCACATATTACTTCTTCTTTAAAATGTAGGAATTTCTATGACTTCTTGAGAGTGATAATCGTATAGTTTCCAATTGCCTTCTCCACGGTTTTAAGACGTGAGAGCCCAGTAATAGCGGTAAAGGAAACGCAACAGACTAGGCCAGAATTTGAACTCGGTTCACAAATTCCAATTTCTGAGCCGATAACATTTACAATCCTCTTACATCAATGCATTAATTTAGGTTTATAAAATTAGTGAGCGCTAATTTCCTGTTTCCCTGTTAGGTTTTATATATATATCAAGTAAGTATATTATAGTATATACATCATATAAGTATATTATAGTATATATTATATAAGTATATTATAGTATATATCTATATAGGATATATACTATAATATACTTATATCATATATACTATAATATACTATAGTATATATCAGGGAGGCATGGAGTAATGGATGAATCGGCGAGCCGAGTTCGAACTCCAGTCGAATCCATTACATTCACTTACATGCTAATACCCTTATAAATAGCAAGACAGACCGGTTTCTATAGCTATGGCAACTTGTCTACCGCAGAAAGAAAAGGCAACCTACTGCGGGAAAAATTTGCCTCGTCAGTCATGTATCGAATGATACATGATCGCCTACGTGTGTATCACGCATATAGTATATATCAAGTAGGTATATTATAGTATATAACAAGTAAGTATATTATAGGTCTGTAATTACTTATATAACCTTACCAGCATGAGTTACTCAGAGTTTATGATGTTGATGGTTGACTCGAGAAAGAGACCGAAAGAACTCTGATAAAAGGAAGTAATGGAATATGAGAAGATAGGACACTTAATTGTAAGAATAAATAACGTATGGTTCCCAGTAAAAGTGACAATCTGACGTCTGGGCTCAGTGTCTAAGCAGATACTGAAATTTAACTTAGTCGGTAGTGCAATAACAGACAACAGAAATGCGAGACAGGAACCCGATAGTGCATAGAAATAACGTAAGATGTCTTCCAGAAACTAAGCAAAGTATTAAGACAGGAAAAATTATTCAAAATAAAGACAAGACTGCTGAACTGCTACGTAACACGAAATTTTCTTACACGGCAGTGAATGCTGGGCAATCTCCTCGGAGATGAAGAAGTGACTTGAGGCGAAAGAAAAAAAAAATAAATAAATAAAAAGACGTGGTTTTATCGATAAATGTTAAGAATACAAATGTCAGACCTCATGAGAAACGAAGAAGTGGAGAGAAAGAGAATAAAATTTCGGAAGAAAATAAAAGAAAGATTCACTTTAATAAAAGAATAAGTATAAAAACGAAGCAACAAGAAGAAAGGTGACGAGAGAAAAAGGGAAATACAAAGAAGAGAGTGAAAATACTACTACTACTACTGCTACTACTACTACTATTATTATTACTACTAATAATAACTATGAATACCAAGGACAGAAGACATCAGCAACGAAGAAGCGTTGAAGCTAATAGCGACTACATGGAAACGTATACTTACAATCAGAATGAGTTGAAATTTCTGGGATAACTGATGAAGGAAGATGGTCTACAGAATTTAACATTTGATTTACATAATGAAGTCATAAGTAATAGGGGAGGGGACAGTGGAGAGACTGCTTCACAATTTAATCTTGCGTCCATATCACGTTGGAATACCGTTAAGTTAAGCAACACCGAGACTGGTCAATAACTAGATGAGTGAAAGCTTGGCAATACTAGGAAGAGAAGGAAGAGATAAAAAAGAGAAATACAAAGAGGAGAGGGAAAATACTACTACTATTAGTATTATTACTACTACTACAACGGCGACTGATATATATATATATATATATATATATATATATATATATATATATAGCTGGTCACATGTATTCAAGGATAACCGTCTACTAGGGCAGCTAGCCAATCATTGTTCCAGACGCTTGCTCAGGCGCATTTGTGTTTATTCAACAAACACGGAGCCCAACTGTGGCTTATAATGCTACTATGCTGAGCAGACCTTAATTACAGTTTCTGGGAGAGAGCGTGTTATCTGGCGTGATCAACAAGTTGGAAAGAGAATTAAAAAGAAAAGAGAGAAAATACTACTACGAATACTACTACTATTAATATTACTAATTAAGAATACCAAGGACAACACATGAACTACGAAGAAGCGTTGAAGTAAATAAGAACTACGTGGAAACGTATACTTACAATCAGAATGAGTTGAAATTTCTGGGATAGATAATGAGAGAAGATGGTCTGGAGAATTTAACATTCATATTATATAATGAAGACGCGAGAAGCAGGTGTGGGGAACAGTAACCTTCTTCAGAATTTAGGCTTACGACCATATCACTTTAGAATACCGTCAAGTTAAGCAACACCGAAACAGGTGGGTGACCACTTGAGAATACCAAGTATTGTAAGCTTGGATGCGCGGGTGGTGTAATGGATAATAGTTAGGAATTCTTAATCAGAGAGAGACGAGTTCCAATTCCAGTTGGATTCTCTTTATTCACTTACGTGCAAATATCCTTGGGAAAGGCATGAATCTACCTGTTTTTCCTTCCAGCTAAGGGTTAATTAGTAAAACTTGTATCACTAAGTCATTATCTAAAAATATTCTTAAAATCTAAAACTATTTTCTGGCTTTAATTAATCTTCAAAGGGTTAATATGCTGCAGAAAACGAATCTCTATCTATAAAAGGCAGGATGTGTGTGTGTGTGCATGCGTGTGTGTGTGTGTGTGTGCGCGTGTGTGTGTGTGTAACGAATGCACGGCCGCAATTTTCGACGGATTTGCACCATAATTTACATGCACATGCTCCAAGTTAGCGGGAAGGCCAAGACCGACTTTGCATTTCCCAACTCCCATCGATAGTGGAAATAATCGATATTTTCATGCTTCTACGGCAGTTTTCATGTAGTTTGCGGCCATTTTCTACTGACCAGAGTGAGAGCCAATAGCTGGCTGCCACGAATAGGCAGGAAGATTCTATTGGCCAGCGTGAGAGCCAACAGCTGACTGACACGAATGTTAACTATCGGGCTAGCATGCAAAAAATCGATAGCTGCATTCGTCACAAGTGGGAAAAATTTAAATCTGCATGGCACTTTACTCCAATTGGCTCATTCGCTTGCTTAAACTCAACGTTGATTCTGATTCCGCAGAACTGGGTTGGGTGTGAAAAAGTATTTGTTAACATTCTTTTTTCATTCGGTTTTTCCAGTTACGAGTCCTTTTTTTTAAAGCTGATCGTTTTGTGTTCATTTTGTTTAGTTCTTTTTTCGTAACAGATTTAATGTTTAGTATAGAGCTTAGAAAAAAAATCGCAGTGTGAGATAGGCAAGAAGTAAGGCATGTAGCAACATCAGCACGGCTAAGGGCACTCCTTTAAAGGCAAAGAAAACGCAAAAATATTTTAAGTCAAGTGATAGCGATTGCTGTATGAGTTGTACGATTTTTGAATCAAGTACGGGTAACGCCGGGCCATGCTGCTAGTCAATCAATATGTAAAAAACATATTTCACAATTTTATGTGAATGGATAGCAGAACATGTTAGAATTACTTAGAGCAACAAAAGACAGGACGTTGACTCTCTGAAATGGCATGGCACATCAAAAAAGAATTACTTGCAAGTGTTCTCGCACATGCCAGGAACAGCAGGGGGCCTTTCCCCACCGGGCAGTACCACTTCTTCGGGAGTGGCTGGTTTTATTATCCGGCTCCTGATGTGTCTCCAAAAGGGTAAGTGCCAAGGAGGCTTTGGCAATATCCCCGCGGTATTGCCATTAAATCCTTTATAGATTTCGAACTTGTGTCACATTCTGTAGCGACGTGGGCGCGCTGAATAAACAGATACTGTGGATTCTCAAGAAACTTTTTGGATTGCTGTCATTGTGTGAAAGGATGGCAGAACATGGCGAACGACAAAAGACAGGAAATTGAGGATAGACATGGCAGCCTGAAGAATTACTGGCAAGTGTGGATATTGAAGAAACTTTTTGGATAGCTATAATTGTTTTTCATCTGTCAAAGCATTCATGCTATTGTTGTATGGATAAAAGTCTTTTTACCCGGAAACGATGGATTCAGTTGTATCCTGACATTTTTCAGTTCGTATTTCTCCCTTTGAAGCTATATATGTTTATTTTACGTTATTTTCCTCACCAAGTATATAAATCTCAATTTTTAAATGAAAAAGTCTGTTTTTACATCTCTTCCTCAACATCCAAGACTTAGAGAGATTAGCTCTGTCTGACGATGATGAGATGATCTTCGGGCCATTTATAATACTATTCATTGGAGATTTGCCTCTCTTGAGAATTTTGTTCAAGAATTTCCAGAACTCGAGAGAACCAAGTCTTTTTGTTTTTAAGTTTGGCTTAAACCGATTGCGTATAGCGGCTCTTTGCCTTTCTCTAAACTCTCTTGCACTAAATGCTTTTGCTCGGAATACCATCAGTCAGTAAGTTATGTGACCTGTGTAATGCCTAAGCGTGTATCATGTATCTTTCAATACATGACTGACGAGGCAGATTTTTCCCGCAGTAAACCATTTCTTTCTGCGATAGTTACCATCCAAGGCTATAGAACCCGGTTTTTCCTGCTATTTATCCATAGCTGAAGGGAGGAGAGGATTCATATCTTTCCCCAAGGTTAGTAGCACGTAAGTGAATGTAATGGATTTGAGTGGAATTCGAACTCGGCTCTCCGGTTCCTCATTCCGTTATCCATTACCCCACCGCACCTCCTCTGAATGCTATAGAGACGTATATTTTATACATAAAAAAACAGCCACGTTATTCACACACAAGAAAAGAAGGTAAATAAGTTTAATAGACATAAAACGTCTAAGAAAATAAGAAAACGAGAACGCAGAATGTGTAAAAATAGGAGGGGGCAGTCGCTGCACATGGCACTGGATATATAAGCATCAA